TAGCCTATGAATTAAAAACCCATTAAACACAAGAATATTTGAAATCAAGAATAAAGGCACATCTATTAGGGCGTATGCACAAACACTAATTATTCAAGAAATCATGAACCTACTAATACTCTGTCAGGCGTACGCATAGAATACTAATCATTCATTCACATGAGTTCTTCAAGACAAAAACATAATATATGTCTAATCTCAACACATACAACCTAATAATTAACACTAAATGTCGTCACACAATAGTAAAAATTAAAGATTAAATTAATAACATGAATGAATCAAGATTTCCATTAAATTGATAAAAATAACATATGTTTAACACAAAGCCTTCCAATTAGGCTACATTGGATCCCTAGAGAAGAATTTAGTTACACATTGACATAAAGAAAGCAAACCTCAATTCCCCCAAAAGCATGAATAATCCAAAATCCTAGGAAGAATCTCCTTCCCTTTCTTGCTATAAATTGTCTCTCCATTTAGGTCAAAGAGAATCCCCCTAAAATAAATTATAATGTCTTATTTATTCTTTTCCCATGCTAGGGGTGTTTTTGGGAAAATATAAGTTCAAATCGAAGTTGGAAAAGGTGAGAATTTCCTTTTCTTCTCAATCCACGCCACGACATGATTTTCTAGCACCATAGCACCTACTTCTCCCACAAATCTTAAAATTCTTTCGTGCTGCGACATCGAATTCTCCACATCGCGACACAATCTTTCTGCCTCTTTCGGCGCAGAAAAATTCTACCGCGGCGCCATGCAGTTGTTTCACATTTTTCTTCTTCTTAATGATTTGTTTTCTCTTCCTTAGCATGTCCAAGGCCTCCAACCATTGTCCGAGCATAAAATCATCTATTTTCTACCTAAAAACCTAAAACTCATACACATACCCGTGATTCTTGAAAATAGAAATATATAAAGAAATTTGCGTAAAAATAATACTTAAATTCATTGAATTTCATACAATCTACCCATAGAATCATGGAATATAAATACCATTTCACCATTCATCATGGAGCACCCAAGATGGAAGGACCCTCTTTCTCAGCCCAACGCATACCCTGCCTCCTGAATACCCCAACAACCTCCTCTTGCATCTTGGCTAGTGATGAGTGCTTGGAAGCGCACTTATACTTAGTGATTTAAGGGTATTTTATGAGGGAATTAGGTTTAATTGGTTAATTTTACTTAATTTATGTATCTCTTTTGTTTTCTAGAATCATGGGTATGTATTATGAATTTTCAGGTATTTAGGTGCTGAAACATTGAAGAGGAAAGAATCAAAATAATGTAAGAACAAACAGTTTGAGAATCAGAGCTCAAACGAAGGAGTTATGGATTTTTGAAAATTGTTCACCGCAATAGAACTATTTATGCGGCGCAGTAGAACTATTCCCACACCGTAGCATAAAAAAGTTGCAAAATGGATAGAAACTTCATGTCGCAGTGCCTTAAATCAGGTCGGGGCGCACTTCACGAATTTTATGCTTGAGAGTTTTTCTGCCAAAACATGTTGCACTAAAATGGGCATAACTTGAGCTACACAACTCTGATTGACCTGATTCTGGTGGCACTGTAAATCTAAGAGATGGAGATACAATTTTATGTTTGATTGTGATCCAGTTCAACCTGGAACATTGTTAAAAATTGATCCGAAAGTTATGCCAAACAAGCAGACGTGAGTTTTGGAACATGTTTAAGTGTTTCTACAAGAACGTGAGATGTAGACCTCGGATTTGAATGATTCTTGAAGAGATGGAAATATTATTTTAAGGCCTACAATTAATATGTTCACAACTTTTCCAGATTCAGAAGCTATCATGTTCTATTTTGGATACCTTTGTGCAGCTCGTGTGAAGGAATCCTAATTTTATTAGGATTCTCCTATTCTATTTCGCCTAAAACTGAATTTTATTCTCCTATTTTGTTTGGGATTTTTTCTCTTACTTTCCCACAACCCTAGAGACTTCAACTTGGAGGGAATTGGAGGCAAGAATAAGAGATCTACCTAGGGTTTCATCTTTTCCCTTTTACTTCATGTTTTTGAAGGGTTTGAGGTTTGATTTCTTTATGATCATGTGTAACTAAATACTTTTCTAGGATCCGATGTAACCTAACATGAAGCTTTTATGCTTTGATTAATTTTATTGTTCTATTGATTCAATATACTTCTAGTTTCATTCATTGCACTAAATTCGACCTTGATGTTTTGTATGAAATAAGTATGATAAACATCATATGCTAACTTTGAAATACAAAACAATTGATTGTTTGAGACAAGGTAAGGTAATATCATATGCAAACCTTGAATAGCTCTTTTGAATGATTGGATTGTGTTGAGGCAAACACAGGCTAGATACAATTTGGTTGATATTTTGAGTACTTTTTGTTCTTAATGGGTTCTTGATTGTTAGGCTTTACTAAACATCCTAGTGAGTTTAATAGTTAAGAATACTTGGTTAAACCCGACCATCAAACAATAATATCATAATGATAGAAGATTGAACCCTATGAATTAGATTGAGACAGCAATAAATTAGTTATTAGCAGAGAATCAGATTGTTATCGTGAAATCAGATACGTAGGTTTTTCTTGCATTGGTTTTCAGTTAATTTCTATTTGTGTTATTTAATTCAGTTGGTTAAGAATTTATTTTGCTTCTTTAGTAATTAGTTTAATTTCTTTTGTTTAAAATTTTGTTTATTTATTTATTTATTTTTGTTTAATTAAGGAATAGTATGTTAGGATTAATTGGGTGCTTACAAATATATGTGGGATCGACCCATGTTTTTGCACACTATAGTGTAATATCGATTCGTGCAATTGTTCATGAGCTAGCCCAAAAGCTTGGTTAAGCATAACAGGATTGAACATACTGGCATGCACTCTTATGTCATCACAAAGTCCACTGAGAAAATAGCTCAAGCGATGCCCCTCCGATAACCCCCACACCCTATTAGATATGGCCTCAAATTGTGTCTTAAAGTGTGCAACTGTGGCTGTTTGTTTAAGGCGGGTTAAGAGTTCCATGGGATCGTCATACGCTGCTTCCCCAAAGTGCACCTGAAGCGCTCGAATAAATGCGTCCCAACTCGTGAAAACCCGGCCCTGCCTCCTCAGCATCCTGGAACCAAAGTAGAGCGTCATCCTCCATGTGATAGGAGGCCATCAAGATCCTCTGTTGCATCGGCGTTTCGTAAAGCCAGAAATACTGCTCTGCCTTATATATCCAGCCTGCTGGATTATTGCCTAAAAATCTGGGGAAGTCTAGCTTAATCCGAGACCATGGTTGATTGGGATTCAAATGGGCCTCATTGTTAACATGTGCAGATCCTTCCCCGTAGCCAATTTCCACATTCCTATGAGATCCTGCGGTAAGAGACTGCCACATTTCGTGAATATCCTTCAGTGGTTGATGCTTGGTGTCTCGTGCTTTTTCGTGTTTGGATACAGTATCTAAGAGTTGTGAAAAATGGGTCCCTTCCGCCATGCTCTGATACTAATGTCAGAGTCACACCCAAAAGCAGAGCACAATTTGAGATGGCTAGTCTCCAAAAGATTAGGAAGAAGGATAGAAAAAATTTGAGAGAGGAAAAGTTTTGTGTAATAATCGTGCGTGTTCTTCTCATTCATTCCATGATATAGCTTTTTACATACACGAATGGACGTAAGACAAAGTAGGTTATAACAAACCCAAAGGTAAAAGAACAATATTACGCTACTATTAAGTATCAATACTAACAATGCTCTCCATAAACCTATGAAATCATAGCACAGAGCACCAAAATTGCAGCGGCAACCAACATCAACATCAAAACCCAACGAAAGTAGATTGTCCACAAATCGTCCGGAGACTAAACCCCAAAAAAAAGAAAGACAAATGGTGTCAAGAAAATGTCAAATTTAAAGCCAAAATAAATTAAAATTAAAAATGAAGAACATATAAACCTAAAATCACAATCACAAAATTAGCAAATCTCCAAAGCAGAAGCTCAAGCTGTCACTGCCACCAACAAGAGAGTTGGTTTTCTTTGTTTATGGCTTCTTTGATTGTTGTGTTCATTCGAAGAGAGATGAAGGGTGTTTGAGATGGAGAGGAAAATTAAAATAAAATAAACCAGTGTTAGCATGCTTATTTGATTATAAAAAAAAATAATAATAAACCTTTGACTGTTGGTTTTGATGCCCATCGGACCTTAATAATTGACAAGACCCAAAAAAAAAATCAAAAAAAACAAAAAAATAGTGGCAAGTAATGCTTCTATAAAAGAGTAAACAACTTTTTCCCACCAAAGGTTTGCTTTAATGACACTTTCCCATCCAAAAGTTTCGAAATACAATTTTCTCACCTAAAATTTATATTCCGTTACCACTCAAAGCCGATTTTAACACTAAAAATTCTATCTGTCACCATTATTTAAGCCTTCGGTCTCCTCTCTACAATACCCCTCTCACTTTGACACATGATTTCTCACCGATTGCCAACCACTATAAAGCTAGAGTTTCCTATTCTTTGTTAATTTCTGGTTGATTTTGATGGCAAATATTCAATCAGTCATCACCATTCGATTCACCAGGCCCCACTTAAAAAAAAACCATATTTCCCTATCTCTTGGTAACTCACTGAAAACCGACTATGAAAGTAAAGTGTATTTTAGGTATTAACAGAATATAAAATGTTGGATGGAAATGTGATATTTTGAAACTTTGTAGGTGCAAAAGGGTCACTAAGGTAAACCTTCGGTGGGAAAAAGTCGTTTACTCTCTATAAAAGGCCCCTCAAAATGAAAAGGATCATTTTCTGATCTCATCTGTACTTCAAAAAATTATAAGATTGAGTTCAAATGCTAATGAAAAGATAAAAACAGAAAACAGATCTTTACCTGAGTAAAATATATGTTCGAGATCAAAGGTTAATAAAAAAGATAAAAACATGAAACAGAGCTCAACGAACATATGCCCGTTATTGCTGAGATGTAATTAGATTCCCAGAAACAATATAAAGAAACCATCCACCTTAAAAGCTAGAAGGTCATTCTCTTTCACAAGATTCAGACGTACTCAAAGAATAACGATTACAAAATAAACGACGTGATTCTAACAATAAAAGCAATTCAAAGAATAATAGAACTTAATAGAGTTCACATTATTACAAGAAATTTTGGCAACTATTAATAAAATTACATGACGAGAAAACAAAGGGAAAATAAAAACCAAGAACAAAAGATTAAAAAGAAGAAGATTGTGAATAATATAATATGAAAAGAAAATGAAACTAGGGCAAAGAAGAAGGTGGAGTGGCCAACTTGGCTCTTAGATCTTTTCTCAAAATCTTTCCAGAAGGAGACTTTGGAATTGCATGAACAAAGTACACCTTGTGCAATCTCTTGTAAAACACTACCTGTAATTTGTCACACACATATTTTTGTTATCAGCTTTTAATTCTACTGCAATTGCTAATCTACTGCCTTTTCCATATTATTTTTTTTCCAAAAATCGGCTGGAAAAATCGAAAAGAAAACTCGATTTCGTATTTTCTAGATATAAAAATGCATTTGATAGATTTTTAAAAAGGGGGAAATTATATGTGTCTACTATTCTTGCTCGACGATGAAGCTTACCTCTCATCTCATTGCCAAACCTAAGCCTTTGTTTTTTTTTTTTTTTTTCAATAAATAAAAATTAAATTAATTTTCATGTAAATGTTTGACCTAAAAAATTGAAAAGTGTTTTTTTAATCCTTTTTTAAAAGTGAATTTTTTTTTTTACTTTTCATTTCTAAAAATTACAAAACTTGTTTTTATAGTTTGCTGAATTTAGAAAACACATTCTTGTGTTTTCCTTTCTCGATCAGTATGCGTCAGTGTCAAACACTAAAATTAACTTCATTTGAATATTCAATATCAAGATGAGAAAAATAGTTGAAACAATTGAATTTCATAAAAATATATATATATAATTTATACCTGATTTGCTACGTATTCTTTTACTGCTTCTTCAGAGAGTTCAAGGCCTTTTGTTCTAACCACAAATGCCACTGGAACTTCTCCTGCTACTTCATCTTTTTGCCTGTTCACAATGCTCCAATTATACATATTTTTTTTTTTATTGAAATATTTTCAAAAACGGTTTTCATACTAAAAATATATTTATAACAATTAGTTTTGAATCACAAATCAAATTATGATTTATACTTACGGTACAACAGCCGCATCTGCAATACATGAATGATTTATAAGAAGAGCCTCAAGCTCAGCTGGGGGCACCTGCAATAACAGGTTTGACAAAGTTTATGAGAGAAATAAAAACTTGTACTTATATAATTAATAATCTTAACATAAAAAAGAAAATGGCAGTAAAAGAATTATTAATAAGGTCTAAGAAACAAACCTGGAAGCCTTTGAATTTGATAATTTCTTTCACTCTATCAACAATGAAAATTTCATCGTCATCGTCAACGAAACCTATATCTCCGGTGTGAAGCCAACCCTCAATGTCTATAGTTGTAGCCGTGGCCTCAGGATCATTCAAATATCCTATATTTTCTTAAAGATAAATTAATGCGAATATAGCGTTAAAAAAATAAAAAATCTATACTATCTCCATATAATTAAGAAAAAAAGTTGTCCCTGTAAATAGGGTTCTGACTTTAGTTCTTTTGGGGTGAAAATTAAAAACAAAAAAGGTAAAAGGGGCTACTAAACATTTAGGTTTATTTTATGATAAATTTATCCTTGCTTGGAATTCTAGGCCCATGGATATGGATGGGCTCGAACCTTCGAAAATAAAAATAAAAAGGCCTAACTCGGGCCTATGTTTTATTACATAATATCAATTAACATATATCACAATTATTTAATCACAAAATAACAGTTTTTATGGTATTGTAACAAAATAAAGAATAATATTTTGGGTACTAATGGATGGGTACTAATCTGTGTACTAACTAAAGCATAGTACGGGTACTATACATATAGTACGGATACTATGCTTTAGTTAGTACACAAATTAATACCCATCCATTAGTACCCATAGCATCACTCCAAAATAAATAACAGGGTGTATCAACCCTAAGAGATTAGCCTGACAGTAAAAAAAGTTTGCTCTCTTTCTTGAGTTCTTGAGTTTAAACTTTGAGACTACCTATTATAATAATATTGTGATTTACCTGATCTTTTGGACTTGTAAGATGTTCAATAAACCTCAAAAATTAATTGAGATGTGTGCAAGTTAACCCGAATATTTTGATTATCAAAATAAAAAAGTAATAACAGGGTGTACGTATATCGTTACCTTGCATAATTTGAGAACCTCGGATGCAAATTTCGCCGGGTTGATTGCGGGGAAGAGGGGAACCAGAGTCAGGGTCAATAACCTTGAGATCTGCATTTCTAACCACAGTCCCACACGACCCTGATTTGGTTGGGAACGGCTGTTTTGCAAACGCAAGGCACATTGATAACACTGGTCCCGCCTCCGTCATTCCATACCCCTATTTCCAATCACCCAAAAATGTTATCCAGTCGGTCTTTATTTTTGGATTGAAACAAAAATAGTGGACGACAATTTATGATTTAATCCGACGTACAATAATTTATAATTTAATTATCAATTTGAAATATAAAAAAAACACCGATTATTAAAATAAAACTAGTAACATAATTAAGTTGGTACTATATTAGGATTTAATTTATGCAGGTCGGGGCATTCCCTAACGCCTACCCAATTTTAGTCCTCTATATGAACCTATTTCAATAAAACCATTTAAAAAATAATATTTTTGACATTTATAAATAATAATAATAATAATAAATTTGAGATAATTCCTGATTGAATAATGTGAAGCAAAAATTTTACATAAATAACCAAAAAAAAAAAAAAAGAAATTCTAAAATGTGATATATATGTGGAAAGCAGGAATAAAAAAATAAATAACAGGTGTCTCTTTTTTTTTTTTTTTTTTTTGGATCGGGTTAACACCTCAACTAATCTTTTAGGACTGTAAAAGTATAGGTAGGAGACCTAATGACTACCTTTATTAACAGGGACGGATCCAACCTAGTTTTGGTGAGCCGTGACCCATTCTTAATTTTTTTTTTTTAAATATTAATATGTATAATTTTTGGATTTTGGCCCACCCTAACAAAAATATTAATGTATAATTAGTCTTTATTTTAGCTTACCTTAACAGAAATTTTTGAATCCATTACTGTTTATTAGTGCTTAGGGGGATTCAAACTCAAACTCAAGAGCTCACAGAATATTCTTTTACTCTTATCATTCATAGAAGACCTAGTGATAAACCAATTTTTTTTTTTCAAACTCAAACTCAAGAGCTCACGGAATATTCTTTTGCTCTTATCATCCATAGAAGACCCAGTGATAAAGCAATTTTTTTTTTTTTTTTAAAAAAAAAAGGGTCCGTCTCCTTCATTTATTTCCGTAGATGGTGAAAGTCAAATGAAATTCATGAACAACTGAAATTGCAGCCATTCATTATATATCCTCTCATAATTAAGTGGCCGCAAAATTAGTTTCTCTCAGTTTCTTCCAACTAATGAAACTCTAATAAATTAGTTGGTTGATCACCATGACCGCCGCTCTTTAATTTCTTCAATTTCATTTTTGTCTATAACCTATACTATTAAAATCAATTATTCGAATAAAAACTTAAAATTTTATTTACTATTTAACAGTATTTGAATTCAATAAATATTACCATTCTATAACGTTATCCAATCAATAATATTGTCACATATTATTTTTATAAAACTGTATTAAATTATTTTAGAGGAAAATAATTGGGTTGACCCAACCACCATGGTGAGAAAGCTCACATGTCACACCTACCAGTAAACTTTATAGAACTATATAATTAGTAATTTAAGTATGGTTAACCTCCTCTCAAATCTAAATACAGGTACATTCTTATGATTAGTTAATAAAAATCTGGCTTAAATTATTCAATAATATTAATTAATTGTTGATATTTCTTCAAATAATTATACAATTTATTTTACCTCTCAAAAAATAGACTAATTAATCTTATAAAATTATTAATAAAAGCTTTTTTATTTGTTATTTCATTATAGACAAATTTTAATGTCTAATGACTAAAATGACCTCTAACTTTACAAAAATAACAGAGTACCCTCAGAAACTGTTTTTTCCGTTTCATCACTCGCTTATTGCATGAACTTCAGTTAAAAGTGCCAAAACAAACACTAACCTGTCCCAAAATTGCTTGCGGAACTCTACTCCGGAGCGCCCCTTCCAGCTCCTTTCCTAGCGGTGCCGCCCCCGAAAGCACCACCCTTATTGAGCTTAGGTCGAACTCCGCCACCATCGGATTCTTCGCCAGTGCCAGCACCAGTGGCGGCACCACCGCCGCCACCGACACCTTGTGCTTTTGTATCAACTCCAACAGTGCTCTTATCTCAAACTTCTGCATCAACAAAACTGCGGAGCCGGCTCTCAGCGAACACAAAAGGACACTGTTTAACGAATAAATATGGAACAATGGCAGCACACAGAGCACCACATCGTCGCCTTTCAAGAATAAATTTGGGTTCTCGCCGTCCACTTGTTGCGCGACGCTTGTGATCAAACTCTTGTGCGTTAAAATGACTCCTTTGGGGAGTCCTGTTGTGCCGGAAGAAAATGGTAAAGCTACAGCATCATCGGGGTCGATTGAAACTTGAGGGATTTGGTTCTCATTCGCCTCCGATAATGCACTGAAATGTAGGCAATTTTCCGGCGGGTCATCCACTGTGATCACTGTAAAATCTTCGCCTATTTCCGGAAACTTTTCGTTCGAGTCTCGAAGCTTGTCGACGTATTGCGATTGTGTGATGATGATTTTAGCTTGAGAACCCTTGAATTGCTTAAAGATTTCAGGAGAAGTGTAGAAGGGGTTCGCCGTGGTGGTGACAGCGCCGATCATAGAAGCTCCCATGAACGAGAAGACGAATTCGGCACAGTTTTGGAGAAGAATCATGATGACATCGCCCTTTTTTATGCCTAAACCAGCTAAACCGGCAGCAGTTCTTCGACAAATAAGGTGAGTTTCAGCAAACGAGTAAGATTTGCCAGTGGAACCGGCGATCAAACAAGGGTTATCGGCGAAAGTGGAGAGGTTTTCGAAGCAATAAGTGTGGAGAGGGAGATGATTATTGATGGGAATATCAGGAAGTTTAGACTTGAAAACATGAGTTTTCTCATTATTATTAGAATTGGTAGAAGGAGAAAGCTCAGGTTTTTGAACTTGCTCAAGAGAATTAGCTATGGAGATCATATTGAAGCTTCAAAAAATTGAAGTTGAGAGAAAGAGTGTGGAAAGAAAAATAAATATGAAGAAGGGGCACTGGTGGTAGGTAGAGCTAATGGGTGAGAGGTAAGTAGGGTAGCTTTTATGGGAGAAGCAAAAGCATGCTCTATCTCACGTTCAAATATATAACTTCAACTTCAACCAAAAGCACTTATTTCTTCATAAAAGCTTTTGAGCTACCTAACTCTCTTCTTCTCTCTTTCTTTCTTAGGGTTTAAAACAATTTCCCCCTCAAGGTTTAAGGAAAACCCAACTCACACATGGATTTTGAAAAGTAGCAAATGCACCCAAAAATTGATTACTTTATCATTAAAAGACTACGATACCCTTTTTCTAACTATATATTATTTTCATTTTTTATTTTTTCAATTTTCACTTTGACTATATAAAAATTAAAGATATAAAAAAAAAAAAAAAAAGAACCTGAAACTTTGTTTTGAAAAGACTTTTGAATCCTTTATATTATTAATTTATTATACAGTACTTCCCTCTCCCATTTTATTTTAATCATCTTTTAAGTATGTAATTTAATTAAATTTAGGACCTTATTTTATTTTTAGATTATTGTATAGAATTAAATAATAATTCATTTATTTATATATTTATTATATAAAATTAGCCTATAAATATTACTATGTATATAGTTAAAATAAAAATTAAAACTAAAGAAATTAAAACAGAAAAGAATATATAATTGGACAAATGGTGCTATAGTCTTTAATTTTTTATAGAGTAAAGTAATTAATTTTTGGGTGCATGTATTATTGTTCCAAAACTTTTGGGTGTATTGTACTTTTCTTAAACCTTGAGGTGGAAATTGTTAAATTGCTATAAACCCGTCTTTCCAACTACGTAAAGAAAGCTATTGCCACTCATTCTTCTGATTAGTTAGCCAGTTGCTCTCCCTGTCTCTATATATTTTGTTTGTTTTTTCCACTTGTGGTTATCTTTCTTTATATATAATTAATTAATTTTAGCCCCTTCGGAAACTAATTTAAGTTCGCTTTCTTTGGAGGTCAATTAATACGGCAAACTAATAAATGCATGCCAGGTAATTATTAATCGTAATTAATTTAAAATAGATAAGAGAGAAAATTAATTTTTAGATATGTTAGTAATTCAATGGTTGATGATATGAACGATGTGATATGATACCATGTTGGTATTTTAATTTAATTTTTTTTTTTAATATTGCGTGATTATACAAAATCCATTTACTATTAATTGCAAATTTGTTTGCGTTAACTGTCTGTATGGGTATGACAGACTTCAAATCCAATGAGAATTTGGAGGGTTATTTTGATACGGCTTATTCGAATAGAGTTTATAAAAAAAAAAAAAAAACTTATCAAAATGTAGTTTTTTATGAAAAAGTTATTTATTGTTTAGTTAGGAAAATATAAAATAGTTTTTTTAGTATAAATTTATCAGAAAATACTTTAATTATATATAATAAATCAAGTCAAATGTATAAAATACGACATGGATTTTTCAAATTTCAACACTTTAAATATATAAGTTTATCTTTTAAACTGTAAAATAATTTATTTTAAATCTTATAAACGGTTTAAAACAAACAATCTCAATAAATTTTAGAAGTGTTTACAACTTTAATAAAACTCTTTCAGCCACTAAATAAGCCTAACTAGGTGTGTGCAAAAGAATCAACCGAAACAAAAACCAACGGATACTTGGGGTCCAATTCTAGTTCCTATTCAAAACCAGTCCTCACAGGGTAGATTCTGGTTCTAGAAATTAGGAACTGACACTGTGCAGGTTCAATTCCAATTCCATCACCTCAAGAACCAGAACCGGTCTCTGGAACCAGGATTAAATTGAAATGTTTTAAAAATATAGGGACCATTTAAAATTTTTTGATTCAACTGAAATTCTTCTAGAATTTTTCATTGTTTTGTTTGTTTTTATTCACAACTGAATTGAATTAAGCTCCTCACCCCTGTTATTAAAATTAATTCACCACAGATAATCTTTATTTCTTAATTAAAACAAATTTATTTTTTTCCATTCACAAAGAAAATTGCCTTAATTGATTATCACAATCCTTGGGATTTTTTTTAATATCTGACCATTCCTGGTTATAAACACGAGCTGGAAAAAAGGCAATTCTCCTTGATGATATTGCAATTAAGAAACTCACCCTTCCATTTATGGAATATTCGGAATTTGTCTTCTGTAAAAATCTCCACTCCCGAAGCCTCGAGAATGCAACCAACCCAGAAGCATAAAAAGCTTCCAACAATATCAACCATTCTCATCTTCTCTCCCACAAAAGAATTTCTTATCTTTAAGCTCATTTTCTAGTGTTTTCAGGTGCAAACATGCTTCTTCCATGGCCTCCTTTCGGTTCTTCTCCTGAATCCAGCAAGCTTTCCAAAGTGAATGCACACTATATACATATTATAAACTACAAATAAAGAAGTAGAATTGTTGATACTTGATTTTGACACCAACGACTTCGCACGTGCAAAGTGCTAAGCAGGTCTTAGAAATTACGCGTGATTAACTAGTTTTAAAGCTAGGACAAGGTTATAAACACAGTTGAATGCAAAGACTTAATAATAAACAAGACAGTGAGAATTTTATAGTGGCTCGGATGCTTAAAGCAATTTCTACATCTACTGTTTCTTTTATATAAATGTGTTACTAGATGTCGCATATAGCAAACAGCGAATAGAGGTACAAAATTATATATTCAGAGAGAATATTAAGCTAGTCTCTATCTCGTAGTTGTCTTTGCTGTCAATTGTTATGAAAATCAGAGATTGATCACCCAAATTTGTGAGAGGGAGTCCTCTATTTATAACTGTTGAATTCAAGGTAATGATTACAAGTCTGCAGGAGGGTAGGTGTTATCCAAGTTCTTCCTTGCCTCTCATTGGCTGATAACTTAGGAAATATCTTCAAATTATCTGAGGCTTTGATAGGTGTGCGGTCCTCATTCACTTATAGACAAAACCTGAATCGGTTGGGTTGATGACAGTGGTCTCTTTGTCTTAGGGTGACGTGGTAGATTCTGGATGGCACAAAGCCTTCTTGAACTCTGATTGGTACTTATTGATGTAAGCTTTCGCCGACCTTGATTTTTTTAGCATAATAGAAGCTCCCCAATTCTTAAGATTCAAGGAATTGGATCTTGAGAACTTCATGATTATGCTGCAACCTGACTTGTATTCAGAAATGTTTGCTCGAGCTGAAAGCTAAGAATAGTCACATCGTTTCAGGCGATCTAAAGCTGATTGCTTGATATGACCAACAAATTGAGTGTAAGTCGTGATCTAGACTTTGAGAGTAACACCAGCGACCTGACGTGATCGTTTACAGAGGTCCGTCGACTTGAGTTTGATCTTGTCATGTGCTATCAAGATGTATTTGGAACCCCAATTGTCATGCACGACCTGAAAACACTTTAGAACATTTTGATGTTAAAAATTGAAAACCATCTTGTTCGGTGTTTGAGTCTGACATGTTGAACAAATGTTATTTTTGAACGACCTCTTCAGATGTTATATGTTGCGCTTGACAATTGGCTCGGTCAATAAGATAAACCTTATCTGACAGAAGTGTCTTTGCATGTAACAAGTATCAGTCATGAGCATCAAATGCAAGTAATGTTGAAATGACATTCCCTTTTGAAGCATTGAATACGGATGAGTGCGCATTTAATGTGGAGGAGATAATCACGCCGACGCTTGGCAATTTCGATAAAGAAATACACCGAATGATTTTCACGAAGCGTGGGGGTTACTCTTCGCGCGGATTGACGACACGTGGTCGCAATCAACGGTTAGGAGTGTGTTCCGGTCTAAACGTCGCTTATAAAAGAAATCAAGTGTCGTCTTCCACCTTATAAAACCGTAAGCTTACACTAAGTTTTCAAAGAACTCAGATTCTTCAGAGAGAAAAACAACGTTTCAAGTTCCAAAATTTGTTCTTCTTCTTCTAGTTAATGCGAACTCAATGCTAGGATAGAGCACCTGTTCTCAACAGCCAAGAGGTAAGGAAACTTCTCCCTTTTTCTCTTTTTTCCATAGTCATGGGGGCTATAGGCGTCTGGTAGGTTTAAATGGCAAGCATTTCTGGGTAGTGTTCGAAAGAAACACTTTGAAGATTTAAAACTTAGGGTAAAAAGCCTTAGAAGATTAATCTTAAGAGTTTTTAGGGTTTTTAGGAGCTTTGATGACTATGGAAGGGAAACCAGGGTTCTTTTACTCTTCTGAGTCGTCGTATGAGGTAGATTATTCAAGGTCTGAGTCATCCCTACATGTCACACCTTTACAGACTCAAAGGGCAATGGAGGTCCCCGAGACGAGAACAATTGGAAAAGGGAGCTTGCAACCATCAGGCACCTCGGCAAGTCCAAAGTGCAGTAGACTAGTATGCGATCAACGTGGGCATGTATCAACACAGGTTGCACACTGTTCAGGATCCTCCCAAGGGAATGACTGCATTCTCGAAAGCCATTTTTAAATGTGGGGTGAGGATACCCCTACATCAGGTCGATCCTCGACTACTTCTAGGTTGCGCCATTCCAACTGACGCCAAATGCATATATAGCTATTGTTGTGTATATAGCATTTGGCAAGCATGACCTTGAGGAGCCAACAATGCAAGAGTTCGCTTGCCCCTACATCCTAAAGAAGAGTAAGGACAAGGACTCATACTATCTCTCCAAGTGATCGACGATCGAGGGAGAGATATTTGGTTACCCCAGCAATGTGGGGGCCTACGAAACCACATATTTTTTCTTCAAGTACGAAGATGTCTGTAATTTTAAGGAACCAAGTAGGTCTTCCTTTTAACTTTCATGTTATTCGCCATTTAACCTTAATTCTTTTTTAGACAATAAGCTAACGATGTAGAAAACAAAACGACTAGGTTTTTGGTGCTAGCTGATCGCAACTGCATCGAAACATTTGGTCGACTACCTGACCAAAGTCATGCTATGTGTATTAACCAATACAGTAAATGTCGTTTTAACTTCTGAAAGTGCATTTCCAAGAAGCTCAGCTCATGAAGAACAGCTTAGCTGGACTGAAAGC